TATTTTAAACTCCTAATTTAGATAGTTTAAAAGGATAATCTCTTCCTTCGATTACCTGGTGGCCTGATTAATGTGATACTTTTGCTAAACACCTTGGTTTTATTTAGTTTTTTTTTTTTTTTAATGTTAAGGTGACTACTTGGGAGTCTGACACGTTTATTAACTTCGGTTGTGAATGCCAGGGCAGCTACAGGATCACCCCTGACTTTGTTACATTAACGAGGGTATATTCTAGCCATACCTACATCTTTTGAGCATCTAATTAAGTAGTCCTCTATTACTAAGTACTACACTAGATGCTATACCTATAAACTACTATTACTTGAGTTACCTAATTAAACCCTCTGATCAACTTAGCGCTGTCGAATATTTTCCCTAAAGAGGAACTACCACTAAGGCCCTTTAGGACTAGTTTATCCTTGTGATAAATCTACTAGAGCGATCCATGTCCCACACATGTATCACTTAGATTTTTGGTAACTTACGCCTAGGCTAAGACCAAGTACTTGTGGTATCTCTCTGCTACCGTTACCTACTCCTTGCCCTTGCAAAGTTCACTCAGACCCCAGCACACACTTTATAGACTGACACTGACTTTCCTTCATTAATAATATCTCGAACTCCCAATCTAAATAACCCAGAGAGGGACCAGTGGGCATCCTCTTGGTATTTTGATTGAATTCTTTTTCCTCATTTATACAGGGCCACCTCCATATACTTGCGTCCTGGTTGGTATTAGTGTCTTGCCAATCATCCAGTCCTCATCTAGTTTACTACCAGTATCTGATCACTAATGATCATCCTTTACGTAATACCATTGAAAATCTGTGTTATCTCTTTACTCAGAACTTGCCAAGTGGGATTCTGTATACCCCAGCCCTTAGATTTACACAAATGTTTCATTTAGGTTTCATGTAACTCTTGCGGCATACTATTGTTCCACGTCCTTCTAGTACAAGCTGGTATGACCAAGGCTACAGATCCAATGATTCATCAGATTACACACAGTCTGTCATAACACATTCCTTAAATTCGAATTTTCGTTGCCAGTGAGATTCGAACTCTTGTCCTGCCACTTGGAGATGCGACAACTTCACCATTTTACTAAGTCACTACACCTTGGTTTTATTTAGTTTCTTATTCTTCAAATAATAATTCTTTATATAGTATTGTCAAAAGTTTGTACTACTTCTCTATTCAAGACTTGCTAAGCGAACTTCTGTATATCTAAACTTCTAAATTTATTTAACTACTTTACTCAGATTTCATATAACTTATATGTTATACTAATATTCTACAGCCTCTTAGTACAAACTAATATGATCAAAATTACAAGTATTAATCTATTAGATTATATACAGTCTGTCATAATATATTCTGTAAAATTTGAATTTTATCATTAGTAAAATTGAAACTCTTGTCTTGCTACTTGGAGATATAACAACTTACCAACTTTACTAAGTCATCACTCCCTTAACAAATAGTTTTAATAAAGTTTATATATTTTTGAATATAAATATAAATAGCTAATATAGTAACTAAACCAATTATTTAATAATACTATATAATTTTTATAATCCTGTATAAGTTTAATAATAATAATATTTTTTTTCTTTTATTTTTGTTTTGTTTTTATTATTTGTCTTCTTTGGTTTATTGCTATTTTAATGAATTAGTATTCATTATTACAATATTTCATCTTTTCTTCATTTTATCTTTATATTTGTGTTTGTGTTTTATTATATTAAAAGAAAGGTAAATACTAATATTAATATGTAACACCCATCAATAACTGTCACAAATTAAAATGAAATCTGATCAAAATAAAATTTTCTGTTTTTTAAGGAAAATTTAAAAATTTTTAAGATTCTTTTTAGCATTAGAAGTAGGGTTTAGAGTTAAGTTTATTAATAAATAAATATATATGAATTTTATAAACTTTAAAGGTGAAACATAAAAGGTTCCCAGTTTCATTTTGATCAGATTTCATTTTAATCTATGACAATAACCAAAGGATTTAAGTCCCTAGTGAGTTAGAAATCTAAAGAGAGGCTTGAAGTTCACTAAGACAGGTCACATCTGAGCATCAGTTAGGTAAGTCTCTATTATAAAAAAACTAATATAGTTATAAAGAAAAATTTCTGTAATTTGTTGAATAACTTAGGTTTTAATAAACAGAGGCAGAATAGCTGAAATATATAAAAAAAAGTGGAATAACTTTTTATAAAATCTATTATATATCTTTCAAAATTCCTTAAAGTTTATTTATATTAGAATAATGCTTAGTTTAAAGTTAGAAATAAAAAAACTATATATAAATTTGCCTCTAAAAACTTTTTGTTGATGCATAAAAGGAGGTTTTTTATGCAATTTTTTGAAAAATAGATGTTTTTTCTTTAAATTAACATTTGTTTTGAAAGTTTTTGATTGTGTTACATTACACTAAAGTGTGGCTCACTATTGGCTAACAGATACAAGAAATACGTCTCCCGCGAGAGATGCCTTCACCCGCGAGAGATGCCTAAAAGCACCCATAATTAAAAAGGTAATTAAAATCATTAAAATTCAATTAATGGCGCAATTAATTGCAATTACCCATATTATCGCGAACATATGGGCGGATTTGCGTAATTACTAATAAAAATGGTAAAATATTTGACAGTGAATAACGTTTTATTCACTGATCCGTTTGGGATGATTTTACCACCAAAATGACCGTCTCAGTGAGACGATTCTAACGAGCCTAAAATTGTCGAAATCTAATCATGGGATTCTGAGATAATTAAAAGGTTATTTGCTTCGGGTAAAATAGGATGGGTTAAACCCATTCTATTTTACCCGAAGCAAAAAGATCTTCAATTATCTCGGGATCACATGATTAGATTTCGGCAATTTTAGGCTCATTAGAATCGTCTCACTGAGACGGTCATTTTGGTGGTAAAATCATCCCTAACGGATCAGTGAATAAAAAGTTATTCACTGTCAAATATTTTACTATTTTTAGTAGTAATTACGTAAATCCGCCCATATGAATAACGCGCAGGGGCGTTATTTAGAATAATGGCCCGAATTAAGCTTAATTTAGGCCAAAATTTGTAATTTCATCCCTGCACGTTATTTCGCGACAATACAGTAAATCGTGTGGAGTGCTGCATACAGCACCCGGTGTGACATAATTTTTTAAACGGCGAAAAATTAAAAACCATATCGAGATATATTTAACGTTAAAGTAATTAATAATCTTGATGGAGATGTAAGCCAATTACGTAAAAATTGCAATAAATAGACTCATTGTGGCTACGCCACCAATCAATTGAGTCCAAAAAATTGCCCCAAAAATCAATTGATTGAGTCCAAAAAATTGCCCCCAAAATCAATTATTGGTTATATAGATATCAAGAATGTAATTTATGCAGTATGTAGCGGTAGATTATATTGAATTAGCTCCGCTTTAGTATACGTAAAAGCTTGCACGATAATAACGGACTGTCAAATTTAGAAACATTTAGATTCATTTCCAATCTTATTTCTCATTTTTATGTCTACCTACATAATCGCTGTTTACTGTATCTTTCGCGTATATTACAGTATTTTTGCACACAAATCTTAAATATAATGAATTATCGGAGCGATTGCAAGTGCGATATTCTAAAGAAAAAAATCTGTTATTTGTTACTTCATCTCGTGTATATGACGTCAAGTATCATTTTAACCCGTCCATTTTCTTAGTATATCATGTTTTTGATATACGTCATACTGGAAGACTTAAAATTCCGGGTCGGAATGTGTCGAAATCCTGGACGACTGGGTCGAATTGAATAATTTTGCCCAGGATCACTAAGAAATTTTGCTATGAAATCATTACTGTTACCCATTCATTAAGTATGTAACAATGGCCAGTTGATAATTTTGCTATAATATTACATAATTCCCGGTCCGGTTCCGATGCATTCCGACCTGTCAATGATCACTAATAGCCGAAAATTTGGGACGGTATTCTGATCGGCTAGACCGGCGTAAAATTAAATATATATTGGAAAATCAACATACGTACGGCGATAGTAAAATTATCATAACATCTTGAAAAAAAGAAAACATTCAGATAAAATTTATTAATGCCGGTCCAGACGACCAGGATTCCGATGGATTCCGACCCGAATTTATTTTAGAAATATCCTGTAAGAAATTGAAAATTAATTAATTATACGATATATAAATATCATTCGTAAACCAAAAGTTGAAATAAATATAGATTCTCAGGGGAAAAAGATTTTTCGACAATTAATAATAATAATAATTTTGATTAAAAAGTAATCTATTTCACTTTTCCATCCAACCGATAATATAAATCCCATTCATCTAAACCAAAATACAAAGAATGAACATTTCAAATGAAAATTTCAATGGGGAAATACAATATACAATTAATAGAAAGGGTAGTGAAATATATATATTCATTAAGTGAAGTTTATTTTTTTTTTTTGAAAATTTTCTTATGAGATTTGATGAAAAAAATAAATCCAATATTTTAAGGAAAAAACTCACGGTATAAATATATATAAGGTGGAGAGATTGAAAAATTGAGAAAAAATCTTATGGTCAGAAAGAAGAGCGTATAAGAAATAATTAAGTAAGGGAAAACAAAAAATAATAATAATAATGATAATAATAATAATAATTTATTATATATGTCTAAGGAACTTCATCAATACAGAAACCTTTGTGCCCGAAAACCGGTCGGGATTAAGTTTTGTTCTCCGAAAGGGTGTCAGTCTCAATTGGAGCAGGGACCTGATGTGCATAACAAATGAAAAAAAAGGGAAACCTAAAAGTTAACACCGTAACGCAGAAAATTTTTTCTTTTTTATATATATATATATATTTTTGCTACCAATCCATCCATAAGAAAGATTACTAAAATATCATAGAAACGATAATAATATACACAGGAGAAATAATAATAATAATAATAAATTAAGAAAAGTAAAAAGATCATCCGATCAATTTAAATTTCCTGTAAATCTTCCATCAATTTCTTCTTCTGTTCCTTGGTGATCATCTTACTCGCCTTTCTGGCCATCAATCGTTCGGTACGGTATTGTTCGTAAAATAATTCCAAAGTAATATCCTTGAATAGCTTGCGGTGGCTTGATAAAAGTACATTTCTTAGTACAACAAAATCGCAATGTTTTGGGTTTAAACAATCAATAACACCCCATGCATATTGTCGTCCTAAGATTTTTTCACTTGTCGATGGATCGGTGAGTTCAGCATCTTCAGGAGCAATTATAGAAAAAGGGATTTGAGTTTGAATATCAGCAAAAGCTTCTACAACTTCAGATTCCGAACCATCTTCTTCATCGACAGGAAAGTCAAACACAGGGATTTGATATTGCTTTATGTCTCGATTGATAGCCTTTTTTAAATTGGCAAGTTGAGTTGTCGTAAGTAAATCAGCTTTTGCAACGATAGGGATGACATTTACACGAGCAGTTAATCTTTTTAAAATACGAATGTCTTTATCGGTTAAACCATTATTTGTATTATCAATAAAATAAAGACACGCATGAATCTGACTGTCTTGAGCTTTAGGATTACGTTTTACTTTAGTTTCCTGTTAATTTTAAATAAATTAATTAATAAATAAAAATTAAAAAAAATTTTTTTTATAATTATATAATTAATAATTAATTAATAAAATTTAAAATTAACCTCAGCCAATGTTTGATCAAATTGGGCTTCAATATATCTTAATACTTCAGTAACTTGAACGTCAAGTCTGAGTTCATTATCTCTTACGAAGCCAGGACAATCGACTAAGGTTAAAGAAATTTTTTCACCCTCTTCTTCGATATCTAAAGTGAAAGAATATAATTCTTTCGTTCGCGCTGCTTCTGCGTCCTGCGCTGTTTCGGCTCTTTTAGATAGAGAAGCAGGGGGCTCTATGTCTTCTTTTAAACGACCAAGTGTGTCGAAAAGCATACGGATGAAGGAGGTCTTACCGAGAGAGCTAAAACCCACGACCATTAAGTTTAATTGAGAGACGGCGTGCTTACGACGACGAGAACTGCGAGACATTTTACTTGACATTCCGATATTTGTAAGATTTAGCTTATGATAATAAAGGAATTTTTGAGGGGAATTAATGAGAAGATAAAGGGAAATAGCGGGGTCGTTATCGGAAGTCTAATCAAATGGGAGGGATTGGTAAGTTAAGGAAAGGCAGAGCAATTAGGAAATCCCAAGTTTGTGTATTTTATTAAAGCACGTCAGAAAAATCTGCACGAAACGGCAGACTAAATAAAGAAAAAGAGTAGAAAGTCGTGTAGCGTATTCAACTGTTTTTTTTGCGAACTTGGTTTGTTCGTTTAAACACGTTCGTAATCGAATAATAAATGCAGTGAAACGTAAAAACTTTTGGTGGTTGAACGAATGTTGGTGTGCATTTTATTAGAAAAAAATTTGTGCTCGATGTAATTAATATATATGCCGAATTATAATTGTGATACCGATACATGCCAGCGTTATAATCTGCTCAATCTGCTTTTCTTTTTTAAAACTTGAATGACAAATAATCTATC